TCCAGCTAAACGAGGGTCGATGGGTGGTCCAAGGTGTATATGCCTACGCAATTACGAACAGTACTTCAGTTGCAGCAGGGTAAAAAGCATAGCAGTATAAATATTAAAGGAAATGTAAACTTAACCAACCGGCATCGGCATGAACAAAATTTAAGTTATATTTGTTGTTAACTCCGGGTGGCGCCCGGTCTGATCCTCGGTCACCACCGAATATCAGCATCAGTTTGTTTTGCATGCACAACGCAACGTATGCTGAGTGGAGACCACTTTGGATTTCCACATTAAGATTTACTTTATTTAGTAATAAGAAAATGAGACCAAATAAATGTTTTCTTTCTTTCTTCTTCTTTCTAGCCATGATTGTGTATTCTAGTTCATTAAGTAGGTTGGAACTACAATACTACTACTTGTACTGTATAAATAAAGATTAGGAATTCGTATAAAGAGGTAGACACCACACGATGCGGTCAAAATTCGATTACCGCTATCTAAAAAAAAAAAATATGTTTATTGAATAACGTATTATACAAATGAATAACTAAAGACTAATTATGGAAATAAATGTAATATGATAATTAAATTATAAACAAAAAATGTATTGAAATATAAATAAAACAATAATAATAATTAAACAATGAAATGCAAATCATGTACCTATTACGCTTAAAATAGACAACATTTACTTTGGGATAATTAATAAATTCTCTGTATCATCGTAGGACATATTTTGAAAGAATTCTTGGAGAATTTTCTTAACCTTTATGTAACAAAAATGATATATGGCCAGTTTGGCGTTTAATTTATTGTACAAAATTGGACCAAGAAACACAAAAAATCTGGAAATAAACACATGTTTTGATGATACAATTTTGGGGCAGACAATATCTTTCCGTCTTTTGTTAGTGTTTTCAGTACTATATGGGAGTGCAATATGCTGTTTGAGAACTGTGGACTTAATAAATAATTGCCTTGGAGTTAGTACCTTACACGACTTATACAGAAGGTTAGTGGGGTAACGGAAAGGGCGTAAGGTAGAACCTTTAGAACCGCTCGCTGGGCTCTCTCAATGGTTAGTAATTAAGTTTTAGCAATACCACCCCAAAATGTAATGCAATATGTAATAATTGATGGACATATGGCATAATAAACTTGCCTGATTATTTTAAAATCAGCAATAGCACGTAGTTTTTTAAACACATGCATTAGCTTACGGATTCGACCGCTTAGTGCTTCGATATGGTGCTTATAAGAGAGGTTATCATCTATTATAACACCTAAATACTTTACCTTGTTAGTAATAGCAATGTCTGGACACTTGCATAGGTTGTTAGTAGTCTCCTTACAATGGTGAACATAAAGTTGTGTGTTAGTTATAACAGACTTTGGTTTTCGCATATAGAACTGCATGAGACTAGTTTTTTCCGTATTTAGTGTTAATAAATGTTGCTGTAGCCAGTTATTTACGACATTGAATCCTCGCTGAGCATATTCATAGATTTTATAGTTCATAGAGATTATCAGATTTAGCAGAAAAAAGCAGAGTAGTATCATCGGCATAGAATATGGTCTTCCTACTGTCTAATTCTAGATTACAAAGGTCATTAATGTAGATGAGAAATAGTGTAGGGCCTAAAATACTTGCTTGGGGAATTCCAAATGCAGTACTCTTGAGATCAGAACTGAAAAGTCACCTATTTTGACACATTGGGAGCGGTTCTCCAGATAATCTGCAAATAATTTTAGCTGTATACCTCTTATACCTGGGGATTAGGGTTGGTAAATTTCCGAGAATATTTCCGAAAATGGAAATATTCTCGGAAACATTGCGAGAATGTTTCGCAAATGCGAAATTTACATAAAAAGTTGAATACTTTGGTGCAAAAACGTTTTTTTTCATATGAAGAAATATTTTGAAGTTAAGTTGATTGACACATTTTAATTCTTATTAATACCACAGAAATCCATTTTCGTGAAAATACTGCAAAATTTCTTAAATTTCCTTATATTTCATAGAAACTTTCCACGAAATATTTCAGAAACTTTTTGGAAGTTTTTCAGAACATCTTCATTATTTTATATTTTTATAGATAATTTTAATGTGGGGATCAAAATAATGCATAACAAAGGTGATTTAAAACTTTGTATTAAATAATTGAAATTGAAAAATTGAATAATAAAAAAAAATGCTATACAATAGGTATGTAAGAAGCTTGTCGCACTTTGTAGACCAATAAAGTTTTAAAATATAATCAACAATAACAACTTACAAAATAATCAACATATATTATAGTAAAATTATTCAGTGCTCAAACATCAACAATTATAATTAAAATAGGTACCTCAAGAACAAATAACAAAATCACAGATTGGTTCTTAATTATGAAAAATACTGGGATTAAAAAACTTAAGAATCAAAATAAAATATAAAACTTAATACTAATCTGTATGCAACTCATCACTGCTCCATGATGTCGTATCTGAACAGGAAGCTACTGATAATGTGTCCTCATTTCTATCATAAGGTTCTGTTAGCAAATCAATGTCAGCGTTCAGGTGGTCAATTGAGCATCGATCTGAAATCTTCGCTGTTTTATGTGGAGCGTTTAAAAGTCGCCAATTGTGTTAAACGTAACTTAGTTTTCCAGCCCTGTCTGTTGTTAATTTGTTGCGTTTAGTGGTGTGTATGTTCCCAAATGTTGAAAACGATCGTTCCACTGCTGCAGAAGTTGATGGTACGGTCAAAATTTTGTTGGTCATCTGGCCCAATTTTGTTTGCCCAAAGAAATTATTCCACCATTATTTTTAATATTATTTCTAAATCTCTCAAACAATATATTATCAGAACAAATAACGTTCTTAAATTTTTTAATTAAATAGGTTCATGAAAACGATTCCTGTGCCAAATTTAATACCCTAATTTCAACATATTAACTATTAATACATATACGGTATAAAAGTGGCAAAATCTAAGTGGATTACGAATATTTATTTCATTCATTCTTTTGATGAGTATGAAATTTCCAGGAAACTTTCCATGCAATTTATGGACATTTAAGAGAAGTTACGGAAATTTACTTATTTATTCCGATTTCTTCAAAAAAAATATTTTGGTTTTACAACCATGATATAGAACTATAACTTTTCTTAAATGTTTCTTGAATATGCGATAGTAAAAATGCAAAGTAAATATGTAAATTTCCATAAATTTCGCGTTTTGAGAATGTTTCCGAAATATTTCAAGAAACATTCAGACTGGAAAGTTTCCAATTTAGGAAAGTTTCCGGCTGCCCATCACTACTGGGGATTCAAACTTCTGCAATAGGATGGGTATATAAATTGTATCAAAAGCTTTCGCTAGGTCCAGAAATATCCCCACTGTTTTGTTACCCTTGTCAAGTTCCCTTGCTAAAAAATCCGTAAGTTGTTGCACAGCGTCAGATGTCGTAATTTGGATCTAAAACCGAACTGTGTTTTAGATAATGTGGATTGTTTCTCCAAATACAATACAAGTCTATTCTTTATAAGAAATAGGTCTATAATTCGTTATTTGATCTTTGTTAACAGATTTATATACCGGGACCACAATAGCTTTTTTAAGCATATAGGAAATATTCCTTTTGTTAGAGATATTTACAAAATGCAAGTAAGCGGTGAAAGTAGGATGTGCCTGAATTGTTTTACCGTTTTGTTTGATATGTTATCATGTCCATCATGTCATGTCTAGCACTATCGTCTTTTAGGCTTAAAATTATTCTTTCAACCTCACTTTCATCCGCATCTAATAGTACAAATGATCCCAGGGACTTGTCACAGATGGATTGAGTGCTTTGTGGTGGAGAAAGCGACAAAGTTTGAATTTTTTGAGCCACATTTTTACCTGCGTTGACGAAAACATTATTTGCGCTGTTAACAGATATTAGGTCAGATGAATGGGCTTTCAATAATCCTGAAGATGATTCATGCTGTTTTGATGTATATGTTAAATTTTTTATATATTTCCAAACTTTTTTACTGTCTGTACCAGCTTTGTCTAATTAGACAAAAAGGAATATACACGTTAAAAAGGAATTCGTTTTTATCGCAACTATTTTTAACTTTTTTAACAAAAGTTTCTATATCTTTTATACGATGCTTGTAATATTAAATTACCTGGATTACATTTAGCCTTCATATGTAGTTTATCCCTATGTCGCATACAGCGAATAAGTCCCGGTGTAATCCAAGGCTTGATACTGTAATTTTTATTATTTAATCGCACGACTTTCGTGTTACTTAATATTGATTGCTGTACATTTTTTACTAAGTAGGACCGCGTCATCAGAATTATAAACTGGGTTAACGTCAATGTTGCAAAAATCTTTTTCAAGTTTATTTATATTGATTTTAGAAATTATTTGCGTGCGAGTAGAATTAAGCAATTTACGATTAAGGGTTAGTAGGGCGGCTCTATGATCGGTTATTGTCGAGTTAGTAACTAATGCTATTGATTTAAAAATGGATTTAAGCATAATATGGTCTAAGCAAGAGCCGCTTTGATGAGTAGGGAGAGTATGCGCAGGAAGTAAGCCATGAACGAACATAGGTTTAGGTACTCTTGCGCACAGAAATCGATGCTATCTGGGAGAATGTTAGTATTCAGTACATTTTTAAAAGATGATAAAAGTTGAAGCGTATCGTTAAGTGAGTCAGTAAAAACTTTGGTATTTCTAAAGGGGGGGGGGGTCTGTACAAAGCTAATATTGCCATGTCTGATCCAATTTTGATTAGGTGCCGATTGCAGTTTAGTATATATTTGATTCCTCATCTGAAATATTTTAATTATTCCTAGCATAAACCACTATACCGCCATTTTTGTTGTAATTTTCCTTAGAGCGGTATATACTATAGCCTGGCATGAGTGGTAGATTTCTACCTTTTTCTGGATGGCAAATACCATCAAATAATTTACTAAATCCGTTATAACTTGTAATACGTTTTAAATTGATTATTTCTTCTAACAGGCATGCACCGCAAGTCGATAGAGGCGGCGCGGCACCTAAAGGAGTCGGGGTCGGAGCGTGAGGGATCGGAGCCCGAAGAACGCGCTGCCTCCGCCTCGCCCGTTCGCCACCACGACGCTCACGACCACCAGGTAACAAACCAATAATATCGTCACCATCCTATAAATCTCTCCGGAATCCTTCATAAGGGTTACTAAAGCTATAAGATTTAGTAGCAGTAGAGCTCCTTGTGAAAGAGTTCGGTCACGGAAGTACTGCGCATTACTGCGTTCCGGTGGTGGTGAAATTATAGGCACATGCGACTTGTCAACTTTGTGCCAGCATTGCAGTCTAAATTCTGTTAAAAATGATCTAGCAGCAGTAGAGCTCCTTGTGAAAGAGTTCGTTCAGGGAAGTACCACCATCTTAACATATTCGGTCGCTAAGCAGTAATGTCAGCATTACTGCGTTCCGATTTTGAAGGTGTTATAACTTAGGAAATGAAACTATTTTTTCGGATTTAAATCGCATTTTAAGTTAAGTTAAGTTATAAGCATTTGTTTGAATCGCATCGATTCAAACAAATGCTTATAACTTATTTCCCAGAATCACGGGCCCAGTGGCAGTGCCCTTAGACTTTACGATTTAAAGCACTAAGTGAACTACTATGGACAGGCTTACCACGATTTGTTCGTCCCGTTGCTTGATATTATAAAAAAGTACGGTGTGTTCTTGAGGTTGGGTCTTAGAGACACACGGTGTCGCTAATGCGTTGCAGTGTTTACATCCACCATTATAAAATAATGTAAAATTTTTAAAACGTGAACATTTATGAATGGCGCTACGGCAAAGAAACTCGTTAAAAACCAAAAACAAAGATCTGCAACAAACAGGTAGAAAAATTCATAAGGTCCGCTAGTTCGTTCCGTGGCTTAGTTGGCATAGCGTCTGGCACGGTTTGGTGGGAGACGCTGGTTCGAATCCTGCCGAATCGAAGGATTTTTTTCTTAGTGTTCTTCTGATCTTTGTCTTAATAATTATAACAAACTAGTAGAGTAATTTCACAAAAATCATTGAATATCATGGTGGTCAAACATCGTGACAGTCCATAAACTTTTTTTTCAATAAAATAACAATTTCCCTAACGAGGGACACCGCGTAACTATCTCTAGGACGCTTTCGGGTTACATTATTTATTCTATACACGCAATAACAAGTGTGTATGTGTGTTGTAGTGTCCAACATTTACAACTTTTTATTACACATTCGCAGGCGCAAAGCTCCCCAGCAAGCAGCACCACGGCTTCGTCATCAGCCAAAGGTCGGGCGTCGCCAGACCGCGATCGCGAATACGACGACCCCGAAGCGTTCCGCAACAACAGCATCGCCTGTCTACGCGCCAAAGCACAAGAACACCAGGCCCGCTTGCTTAATAACAACCTTCTTCTTCAGGTAATAAAGATGAAATCAGCTATACATAGTCTACTACTTTTCAAGAGAGTTAATGATATCGCCTGCATGTTTATAAATGCAGGCGTCTAACTTTTCAATAAACGCTAATCTCCATAATCCATAATCTGTAAAATATGGTCTCCCAGTAATTGGGTGCAATTTCCATAGCTTTTTTGGTGTTAAATGTTTTATCATAAGAATTTGAAAATTAGGTCTTCTTGAGGTGCCATTTCCTACCGGAACTCGACGATCATTAGGGTTTTCTGTATTGACACAGCTGCACGGAACCAAGATTTTGTGCTCAGGTTAAATCATCCGTCATCGATCAGTCCGGAGATACTTCCTAGGACATGAATGTCCATTTTCTGCATCTCCGGTGTAACATTTATGTATTTTTCGCATTTGTACATGCTCGTCATGTTCCGTGTTGCAATCTTTACGGCACACCCGGACATTCTTAGCATCCTCTGACCACTTAAGGTCTGTCGGGGACTGAGGGCCGTTGCTTGCGTTGTATTTAATAATAATAATAATAATAAATCTTTATTTCGGACAACAGGGATCCATGTTAGTAACAAAGGTAGCTTATAATTGGGTTAGTACTTAAATTCTACTACGGATTTTGTGGTTGTTATTAAATGCCGCATCACGAGGCAGTCACTCTTCTCCGTGATAGTCTTCAGTAGACGCCGACTTCTTCCGCAAGAGCGCTATGAAGCTATCGACGCGAGCTTTGACCAAACATGGCAGACGCAATGCTGAGCCGTGGCAACCGCAGCAGCGTCCTGAAGGCATTATTATATTGCGTATACAGGGCTCCGAGCGAGCTTTGCGTATAGGCCCATTGGGCCCGCGTGTAATGGTGTGCAATAGGCTCTAAAAAGAGTGACCTTCACCTCTGCCGTACATCGATCAAACCTGTAAGCCAGGATATCACCGATAGTGCCCTGTGTTCGTGTTCCATATCCATATTGTTCTGAGAAAAAATAATGCGGTGGTCTTCCCTTTGCCTTCCCCATCGCTGTTTGTTACTAAGAGGATAATGATGACCACCAAATGTACTGATCCACTTGAATCTCCACTCGGTAGCCTCCTGTACCTGCACCTTATATGCAGTGAGTGCTTATCTACTGGCGGCACTAACTCGCCATGTTACGGAATTTATTATTATCTGATTACTATATATATTTAATTTAGTATTATCTCCCGAGATATATATACCCACTGCAGTGTACACCCTCGAAAATTAGGTAACGAAAAAAAATTGTTAAATAATTTACCTTTATTTCAGGTGAGTTGGACGTCTAACGCACACGCTTATTTTTTTAATAAAAATAAATAATTAAAAGTTAACGTAAACAATAATAATTGTAAAACCAAAACTGCTTACTATGCCAAATCACGAATAATACTGCACTTATATAATATCCTCCGTTGAAGTAAAAACCTTATTGCCCATCTTCCTAAAGTAGTACATTTGTCATGAATACACAGTTTTCCCACATAATCACATAAATGTACCTAATTATAAACGCCTACACAATGAAAGTTTTCTCGAAGTGATAAAACGGAACCCGTAGAGTACTAAACCATATTCTTTACTTATTTGTTAAAAAGCATATGGAATTATGATGGGCTGTCCTCTGCACCATCCTAAGAATACCAACTATACTAAGTGCCATTTAGCATGCCAGTAGCAATTAATCGTCCCATCTTACACTGTATACATTATTTATGAAAACGATACTTTCCAATGTTATTACAACGTAATTCATATTGTTTATTTTCATTATACATATACTTATATCTTTTTTGGCACACACTCATACCGTCCCGCACTAGGTAAAGGGACATGCACATAGGAAACCACAAATTACACCCAAACTACGAGAGAAACAAATGTAGGCCATACAAATATTTCTCCCGGCCCAAGAATCGAGCCCGGGACCTCTGCGTAGCAGATCAGCATGGTAACCGTTCGGCCACAAAGGCAGTTATGTGTATTATTAAAATGATGAGTAATATAATACATTATAATACTACAACTGTGATAACAACATATAAATTTACAGAGCGATATGCCTGAATTTTTTTTTTTAATATATGTCACTATCTTTTATTATATTACTCAAGCGATGTCAAAATTACGCAAGATTTTTAGGGATCGGCGAAAGGTCGCTGTTAAATTGTGACTTCGGGATGGAAATCGGGTGAATGACCGCTATTAACATACTAAATAGTACAAACTATAAACTGTCATTTATTTACCAAACCTTTTTACCTGTTTCCAGGTGCGAGGTATGTCCCGCCCTCAAGCCGGAACCCCAATCGCGGAGGACGATGGTCCAGGCGACATTGATGTAGGCACCGAAGCACCACTGGACCCTCCGCAGCATCCTCCTCATCTCTACTGACCGCCCGTGCTGCTGTAGGCTCACCATGGGATTAACATCACGTGATCATGACGCATGCTGATTGGCTGATATAGAACTCGAACGCCAATATTACAGGAAATGCTATTGGATGAATAACGCGTGATTGCTTAGAGGCTAATGATTAGACCAAATGGTCGCTCCAAAGTGTTTTGTTAATGGCTAGAACTCATGTGATGTGGCGTCCACCGATTGGCCAGTGAGATCACGTAAAAAGGAATTAATTAAAAACAACTGACAGTACTTAAGTGTAATTATGTACATTTTAGAATTAAGCATATTTAACAGACCCTGTTTCGTGCAATACCTTTAGTTAAGTATTTATCTGTGTAGCCTGTGTTAGTAGATTGTACAAAGTTCCCAGCACTTAGATTATTGTAATTACAAGTTTTAAGTAAGAATAGATCTGCGGGCTAATCATCTGAGTCGAAAGTCAGCCTGATGTTCTGAATAATTTCTCAAATCGAACAAGATTGGACTCATTCACTACTTTCAATTCCCGAAAGTTAGAAATGGGCGACGAAAATATATAGAGTTTAACATTTCAGACAGGTCAGACAGCTTACGCCTATAATATGGGTTAACGTAGAAGCACTGCAGACGCTTGTAGAGTCTGTGGCACTGCAGCCGCGCCATTACTCATTTTCGTACAATATCTAGTCTGCAAAAGAAGCGCGCGCGTTTCAGCTACGGCGCTGCAGCTGCGCTTCTAAATATTGAATGAAAATTAGTAATGACGCGGCCGTAACGCCAAAGTGGCGCCATTACTGCGCTTCTATAAGCGCCTACTTTGAAAGCACCCTCAAGGTAGGAAGGCACCCCTAGCCGCCCAACTAGCACTGAGTACCTTTATACAAGTGTAATACTATTAAGTACATATTTACAAAAATCTTAACATCTATTCTTACGTAAACCTTGTAAAAATTTACCTTCTATTATATTAAATAACTTTATTGTGCCCCGATAAACAACTCTAAGTAATTACGAGGCAAGAAAAGACTATGTATAAACCATAATTAGAATAATTTAAAGATCGATATGTATTAAAGTAATTACTCGTAAGTGTTTCAGGGATAAAATTAAATTTGAAAAAAAATGTTAAAATCATTTCAGGCACTAAATTTTAAAGTAAATGCATAGTAAATGGATAATTTTCGGGCTAGTTTTCTTTACTTAATTTGTGGTGGCAATTTTAATTATTTAAGTATTCGAGTATATAATCATGAAATATTGAATAACTATAAGATACTACACTCGAATATTAATTAATACTTCATGATAATATTATAGAATATTCCAATAGTATAGATTGCCACCGAAATTAGGTAAACAAAACTAACCTCAAAATTACCCAATTATTTAATTATGTTTAACGAAGTGGATAACAAAACAACGAAATATTGAGTTTTGCCGTTTTTTTGCCACTTGAATGCGTTTATTAACAAAAAAACATCGAATACATTCCAAGAAAGACTACTGAGGCCTAAATTTTCTTCTAGGTTAATAACAGACTTGCCTGTGTTTATACTTAATTTTTTTAAATGTGCAATCCCGAAATTTATTAACGTTTGTAAGTACATACACAATTCAAATTATTCACTTTGAAAAAGGTAACTGAACTACTAAGAAAATTATAACCGTAATAAATAATCTACTTTGTCAGAGTTTTAAATAGTGAACAATGATAAAATATGCCTTCTTTTGACTTCTCTGGAACCGGTTTATAAAAATGATTGAAAAGTTGACTGTAAAAATCTTCTTTAACTATTTATTGTACTTACATTATATACAGATTGTGATAGATATGGAGAATAAACATATTCGCTTATTTCTGCGATTTATAGATCCTTATATGTAATTGCTGTTCGTCAGTCCACCGGATTGGAAACATTACGTACATCATTAAATTGCTTTGCAGATATGTGCTGGTGTCCTCACGATGTGTTCGTTCAACGAAAAGCTCATGATGTCAAATTAATCTTCGTACATAAATTTCGAAAAACTCAATGGAAGCCCGGATTCGAATCCACGACGCTTGGGTAAATCAAAACATTAGGCTACTCATGAAGAAGGCTTTATTCATGAAGCACTTTAGCTTTATGCTACACTACTACTATTTATACAAATCATGAACAATAAAGAGTACGCAAATTTAATTTGCAATACCTAAAGAACTGCAGGTATGATGAACATTTTAGTTCTTTCAATATATTAAAACATACCCAATATATATTATTATATATTAATATTATACAGAAAGAAATAAAATGATCTTCAATGAATTACGATAGGCTTACGATTCTTTACGTAGTAGGGCTCGATTGTACATGTCACAACGAACTTTATGCCAATTATGTAACTGCACTACAATTCTCCGGAAGACTTGGCTCTTATTTATCTTGTATATTCTTGTAGGTAGAATTAGTTCCGGAAGTAGTTCCGAAACTAATAATCAATGATCATTATTACAAATAAAATACAACTGACAAGTCTCAGAAATAAGGGCTCGAAATTTTAATTTTCTTGCGTAAGGTGAAGATTCCTATTAAAAAATCACAATATTAGAATCCTGATGAATGAACTCCGAATTCGGCTGTTTTTCAAACAAAATAGATGACCAGTGTTGGCTTTACCTATGGTGTAGGGAATGCAGCCACATGGACGCAAAGTCTTAGGGGGCGCCATGAGCCACACGTGACGCCTCCAAAAAACCTGCGTCTCTCGGGGCGCAAGCGAAGTAAACTTAAAGCTATTGCTTCCCTATATCATTTATAATTGCACCATTTGCACCCAAATTTCCAATCGTTGGGGAAAATATAACTTAAGTATTCCATTTTGATCGCGTGACTAGAGGGCGCCAGAGTATTGTTTGCACCCGAGCGCTACATTGGTTAGCGCGACGCTGTAGGGTCAATTCAGAGACAGTTCTTTAGTGGTTGAATTGTTTATGATGTGACCTATCAAATGGTAGTGGTAACTGATAAACACAAAATAGCTTTTATAGTACTAAAATAAATACGAAAAAAATTACATGCTTGGATTGAATTGAAACTTATTTTCCGGTAAATTAATGTTTACCTATTTCCCCACTACTATCACAGTTTGTATTACTAGTAACCCAGTACTTAAGCGCATAACAAATTGTATTTATCGAATAAAACTGCAGTGAAAGACGATCTGTTGACACAACAATTTAAACAATCGTGATAATACAGCAGCAAAATAAACAGTGTACATCTGACTTCATTTGTTTTATTTTCTAATAAGGGCTTGTGAGTAATTTTCAGGTTCGTTTTCTCTACCTAATTTCGGTGGCAATTTTTATTACTTAATCATTCAAGTATATTTTCGTGAAATATTAAATAATATTACAGGATGCTACACTCGAATAATAATGAATATTTAACTTTTAAGTTTTGATTGAATGTCACGATGTTTAACCACCTTCTATTTCTTCTTCCTGTCCTTATCCCACGCTAGGTGGGGTCGGCACAACATGTATTTTTCTTCCACCCTCCCCTATCAGCCGTTATTTTTATACTCACACCTTTCTTATCCATGTCATCTTTCACACATATTGTTTTCACACTGATGTTTGACCACCATGAAATTGAATTATTTTTGTGAAATTACTTCACTAGTTTGTAATAATTATTAATACAAAGATCGAACACTAAGAAAAAATTCCTTCAATCCGGCTGGATTCGAACCAATGTCTTCCAGCAAACCGTGGCGTGACGAGGATATCCATATAAGCAGCAGGCCACGTTTAGTTAGCTCGGTTAGCTTAATTCACGGAGTAAACCAAAGTATGAATAGATGACCCGGCTACGTGAGCTAAGCTAAAACGGCCCATTCACTACCTGCCAAGCCTACGCCTAGTCCCCTGATGATGTAAAGGGGAAGGCAGAATTAAATCGTGTAATTTCATCGCACATCTCCGTGATATATCCTGTAAAATACGGATAAGCAGGCAACTTTACGGCGGTGTTCAAGGCTCTGCAGCTTCGCCTCTACTAATTCCGAGTCACCTATAAGCCTCTTGACACGCTTGTCAATTGAATCCAAGGTGGCCAGTTGATATGTAGCAGAGCCATTCCAAAGGTGGCAACAATACTCCATAAACGACCGGACTCGTGCTTGGTACAGCTGAAGCAACTGTCCCGGTGTGAAGTAACGCCTCACCCTGGAAAGAATGCCAAGCTTCCTGGCTGCATTTTTGGCCATGGATTCAATGTACCTATCTGCCGAAGTTCAGATTGGACCACAGGTCCATTCCAAGTAGCTGGAGGCGGTCGGCTATCGGTATGGATAAATCACGAAAAGTCGGAGTTAGCTGAAAGGGACTCCGTTTAGTGGAGAATAGACACGCCTGCGTTTTGGTAGCGTTAAATTTGACAAGATTGGCATCGCCCCAATCACAGACTGCCTTCAGCGTCAAATCTAAACCTTTAGCATTTTCCTTTTTTCTTTATGCATTTTGGTTATAATTGAGGTAAAACAGAATGTACTTAATACACGCCTTTTTTCGAGATGCAATCAAATCTAAGCTAGGTGGTTCTCGAGATTCAAAGAACCTTCAAATAAATTCAAATAATTTCATAAATAATTTCAAAAAAATAAATAAATTTTGTATATTATGCAAAATTTGTACGTGAGCTCCGAGACTAACACAGGTATAATTTTAAAATAATAAATCGGTTGTATCTTCTAAACAAAAAGGCATCTAGTTCTAAAATTTTGCGACTAGAATCGACTAAATCACGGCTTTTTTTGCAATCAAATCTAAGCTAGGTGTTGCGGTTCTCGCGATTGAGAAATGGTGTCGCTGGAATAAGCTTAGGTATTCCAGGGTGGACAGACTAAATAGCGACTTTTTTCTGGCTAGTCAAATTTTCAAAACTCGACCATGGTCACGCTGGAAGAAAGGCCCATTTAGATGGAGAGAATTTATCGCACGCTTCGTGACGAAAAATCGTACGCGATTATCGTAAGCAATAATCACCATAAGATTATCGTATAATATTTACATTGAGGCAAGAACTGAAATCTCGCCTACGATTATGTCATACGAGATTCGCAAGCACCTTAATCGCCTCCTCGACTGTTTACACGGAGAAATATGTACTAAGGAGACTCTTGCTTAAGAGTTTTCGACTTGTCAAAACACGATCTCGTATGACATTTTTTCAAGTTCATACGATCATCGTACAAATTGGTTCGAACCGTTTTGAGTGCGAGAATTGCCATTCGAGTTCAGTGATTACTGCGGTATTGCCTATGAATACATCAAAATGACGCAAAAATCATTCAAATTTGGAACTGCTGATAATATTAAGTTCATTGCACTATATAGAAATATACATTTTTTTTTAATTTTATAACATTTCTTAACCCTTTTTTTTCTTTTCGTTTCCTTAATTCTTATCTTAGAAAAGCAGTGATAATCAAAACACACTCGCGCACTGTACTCATGGTAGAAACGGCTGGCACAAAAACTCTAAATACGATTTTTGGCTTCAAGTTCTGTTTACACGGAGACGTTCAATATTGAAAGGCGAGGCGATTATCGCTCAGGTGGAAGGCGATAATCGCGAATGTTTAGACGAGGAAAGTTTTTTATACTCTTTCGATAATCGTATCTTCGAGACGAGAAACTCTCTCCATCTAAATGGGCCCTAAGGCACGCGAAAGATATAAGAAACAAGTTTATTCTATATATTACTCGTTCCAACCAAATGTAGTTTCTTGCGACTATAACCAAATAAATGAAGACTTTTATCTGACTAGTCAGATTTAAAACTATCGATTATAGTCACGCTGGTATAAGACACGCTAAGGTATTTGTTCTATACAAAAACAAACTGTATGAACAACAAAATGTACATAAGAAAAACAATAATTTTTATTCGTAATGAGTATCTTGTCTTGTCTTGCCTTATTGTTAATTAAGTAACTAAAAAGTGTAAATAAAACACGGTTTTAAAATCTGGCAAAAAGAAGCCAATAGTGTTTAATAATCATAAGCTGATCAAAATGTTCTGGCACAATATTCATTCTTACAATTACAACTTAACAATTAGCTACTTTATAAAAAAAACACAGCACTGCTAAAGCACTTTAATTACTTAATCATAGTATTGGTATAAGTAACCACAGAACAACGACATTGGTTATATTTTAAATAATCGAAGTTTTTATCCTAATTTAACTTAACTTAAAAGGCACCACGAAACATCGCCATCTATTGGTACATAGCTGCAACAAGACAATGTAATATAAATTTTAGTAAAGGTCAAAAAGATATCACAATAATTTTTTTTTCATCAATATAATTAATTGAAGATTTAGTATGGCCCTAACATCATAAATGTATGTTGTAATCAGTGCAATGTTCACTTACAGTATGAAATCAAAAGTAAAAATCTCATGTTATATAAATGTACTGTAATTTGCATTTTATTCATACAAATAATCGCGGTCGTCGGCCATATTTGTTTACCTAGTTAGGCGAACAAGCTTCTAAAAATACAAGAATGTCCGTCAACAACATAAGACGCCATACATGGAACTATTTTTTCTTAATATTACCTGTAGCCTATTACAAAGCACATCATACATTATGCTCCCAATATTTTAGTTTGTACGCTCATCTCTAATAGATCTACATTTGTAAAGATAGTACATTGTAGTACCTAGCTAAGAATAATTACCTGCTAGTTACACACAAAAGCGTTGAGATCTTTACAACAAACATTATTTACGAATATAAAAGGGTAAATTACACTCTACAATTCACATTACTAAAGGCCACAACTTCACAATTTTTTTAGAAAGAGATCAACCTGCATTTTATCACTATATTTCAACCAGCTGCCCTTTTATTGTATTTCTATACCTCCAAAGACCACTATGCCTTTGTTTTTCTACGATTTTCTGTTATTTTTGTAAACAGCCATATTAATTCACTAATATTATGCTCAATGAATTTTGTGAAAAAAATATAGATACAAAAAATTTAATTCGAAAAATATACAAAAAGAAACTAATTTTTGTGAATAAAAAAAAGAAACAAAACGCAAAATAAAATCAGAACAGATCCAAAAATTAAGCCGGTGTAGTGTTCATTGGAGGCATCGTTTATAACATTCAATAATTTCCAATTGTTTATTGCCAACGAGGTCCTGTAACACTGTTATTCCTCGGTAATATTATTCTCTTCGTTCGTCAGTAGTACTCTGGCGCAATATGACTGTAGAGAATTCTTCATTATTCACACTACCACTGTAATAGTGTCACTCGTCGGAATAATAATCACGGGTGCGACTTGACGAGACGATTATTTTCTCGTCGTGTTCCATCTCTTTTGTGTTACGCATTCTTGTGTTGGAAATTCTTAAGTTCTCTTACAGAAAAAAGAGCAAATATTTTTTTTTTCATTAATTTGGTTTTTCACAAAATACATTTATGGAAAAAGTAAATTTCATGAGGTGAAAGTATTTCCTTTTACAACATCATTTTATGTATACCATAGTATACATATACATAAAATGATGTAACACTATACCATACCATAGTAAGTACCATACAATAGTACCATAGTATGGTATAGTGTTAGTCTTTTTTCCAGTTCAAGATTTTTTCTGTTTTCAATTTCTTTTTTTAGCCAAACAGTACTTTTTATAACCATTCGGTTGTACGGTACGTTATTAAATTCATTACAACAAATATTAATTTGTCAATCCAAGCTATAATTGGTTATTGAAATTGTAATATGACCCGAATTCATGAATTCATATATTATTGTGAAATGTACAAAGGTGTATTTGAACTTACTTGCCACAATTTTGTTTATAAATCACAAAGAAACGTTAGGCAAATCTATTTTTCCGGATTTAAATTGCGTATATTTGTTTTTTCAGACAAACCAACGTTTCGGGCCCTTTGCTGGTCCCATGGTCACGGTTGACTTTCGCGCGAATATACGCGATTTAAATCGGGAAAAATAGTTTCATTTCCTAACAACACAATCATAAAATCGCGAAAACCTAAGAACTCGATATCATAAAAATTGTTTTGTTTCACGTCTAAAGTATCTGTAGAGTATTTTCAGCTCAGTTTTCAATATACTTATGATCTATTATAAAACATCCAAATGGTGTAAAAGCATCGAAAAGTACAAAATTGGCACACTCATATAACTATATATAATTGAAAAAGTAAACTTTAAAGTTACAATATAATGCTGTGTAAAAGTACGTATATGAAAATTAAAACAAAGAAATAAACTAAAAGTAAACTAAAGCAAAACTCAATAGCATTGCCGTGTTGTGACAAAACACTGTACTTAATAATTTTTGGAAAATGTTTGACAAGATTGCCCCTTATTCTTTATAATATAGTTTAAATTAATGTGATATTTTTCTTTTTTTTTTTAAACTAAGTATACCGTGTAAGCAGATTCGCAGACCTCGATTCTCTGTGTTAGCATAAACACTGTATCCGAAAGTGTATTGTTTCATCACGACAGAACAACTAAATTATAAACAATAAACATCAAGTTAACGTTGAAGGTTATTTTTAGAGCTCTCCAGAACTGTCGGACAAGGGACTTACCACATTTATTGACACAAAATCGCCTCGAGACGCTCAAAAAAGTCAAAAAAATCAAAATTTATTTATTTCTTTATAGACAGACACAGTCCATAATCTTATAATAGTTAAATTGTGTGTGAAGTCCCATCAGGATCTACCAATATTAAAAAGAAAAAACCCAGTCCTATAATTGAAGGCGAATGCAGTCTCATACAATGAAGCACGATCGAACAGTCACCAGCCACAACGCGAAGAACGTCATTTGAACTGCCACGGACGCGGCTTAGCAACGAAGTAGTTCTTTTTCTAAGAATGAAAGCCATCCGTGTGAGTATCTGCGAACATGCCTGATGCGCTACAGTACCGTGGCAACCCGAGGAACACTGTAAATGCGTTGTTGTACTAAATACGCAGGGTGTTGTCTTCTGCGAACAGTTGATCAACAGATTACAGGTATAACAGAAAGCTTTGAAAACTAACACTTTAGCAGGTACTTACTGTACACCATGCAAATTTGCGAGCCAACATATTGCTTCTAACAGCCCACGCCCGGCGCTCTCTCTCAACGTCCTCATTATGCGTGAGGTTCTCCGATGCTCACGCCATAAAAGCGAAAAAGATGTTGCGCATTTCGCTTCCGCTCGGATTGCTGTTGCGAAACGCATTTTCGCTTTTACTACATGGATATAAAAATTTTTCTGACCGGCTTAATGCTATTTTGTGTCGATAAGTGTGGTGACTCCCGTATTTGGCATAAAACATTTCGTATCATGTTTATTTTGTATGCCATAAAAGCTCAACTTTAAAAAAAATCATAAATCGAAGCTCCCAACATTATTTTTTTTTTTTTAATTAAAAAGATTTTATTCACGACGTACTTGATAGAATTTGTGTGTGTAAAAAGGAACGGCGCACTAAATATTATACTTATTTTTTAATTATAAGTGTGTAGAGCAGGGCCCGATAAAAAAATTTGTTGGACGTATGGATATTAAAAATCGTATCTGACTAGTCAAGTATAACTAAACTAAATAATCAAAACCAAATATAAATAAGGTGAACTTAAATAATTAAATACTCATTAAAAAAAAGGGTGAAATCAGCTGTAAGGTGATTGCGGCTTTAAAACTTTGCATTTTAACAAATAACATAGAAAAAGTGCGTAATATATAAATAAGTAATTGTGATGAATTGATGATATATAAAATTATATGTATAATAATAAATACGTAGAAATGGCGTAGAATAATTGAGGCTATTAGTGCAAAAGTGATGTAACCCACACTTAATTTTTTTTCTACCACATAACTTTAAATGATACTAAACTAAATATAAAGTAATATTGTTGTATGTACTACAACAATATTATAAGAAATATTGTAGAAAAAAAATTAAATGTGAGTTACACTACTTTTGCGCTGATAGCCTCCGTTTGTCGGTGGAGTAAACAAGACTACGACAAAGTTATATAGATATCGCGAGATACTACTATTCTCGTATAGCGATCCCGCGCTTTTTGTCGCTCTCGCGCCCTGTCGCGCTAGCCCTACAGATCAGAAAAAAGGCTGACGTCGTGTCGTATCAGGAACACATAGTTAGGGCGCTGAACATAGATAGTTGACGATTAGTCTACAGGCAGCTTCCCATGGCCTGTGATATCACAGGCCGCGCCGCACTGCGTTTATTTGTACTGACGAGCTCGCACCACAAGCCTATACAACGTGAGTCCGTGCCGACACGGGCACTATCCACGGGCCGCGGCGCGAAGTCGCGCGTCTTGGTCTGTAATACCACGGCCCTTGTGAAGCCTGCATACAACAGACTGCTTTTTACAAAAGGGCAACATTTATTCCAATATTTAAAAAATATATATTTTATAAAAACGCAATCGCCCCCAGATGTTTTTATTCCGATTGACCATACAGCACATACATCCCTTACAGCACTACGGAACACGAAAATTGGAATCGGATTATGTAATTAATAACTATTTGCCTGAGACACGTGTCATTTCGCGGCGTTTAAGTCTAGAACTAAATGAAAGTATAAAAAGTGAATATAATACGCTTAAGGTATCTTTACCCTTGTACTAACACATGTCAGTACCCGTTATCACGAATAAACGTAATTTACAGTTTTGACTGAAAAAAGTTATTTACATAATCCGATCCAAATGTTCATGTTTCTATATCATATCAATCATAAATTTGTATAATTCAATTGCATCAAAATTGTAAGCTATGTATAGTAGTGCAATAAGAGACGTTATATTTTTCAAAAACAAATAAGCTAAGCTAAATTTTAACAAGTACATACCTATAAATAAGTTACAATTAGTGTAAATATTTAATATAATTTTTTTTAAAAGACGCCAAAAAACGTAGACAATTTTATTAAGACATGTGTTTCACCTCACCTCACTATTAAATCTTCATAAAATAAATTATTTTCGAAAATACACTTTTTCAGCTATAAAATATGCACAAAACCTCAGTGCATTTAAAAACCTTTATATGTCCACGATTACAGAGATAATTTTTTTTAAAGTGGACATAGAAGATTTTAGTAGTAAGACGACAATTTCTCATAAATTGTATATAAACTTTAGTTAACGTCATATATATATGCACCAATTAAAATTGAATCTATGTCCCCTTCCCCTGAGTTCCCTTTAGGGAAAATCCTGTGATTTCCGCATCGCCATGACAGTATATAATTGGAAAAAAATTATATGAAATCTTCAGCACAAACAATCGGAATGGGTTTTCATATCGCGGCAACCAGGTCCCCGATTCAGAACTCTTAGATATTTTAACCGAATCGTACGATAGGATATGGTTCTCGACTCGAAGGGCGCTTTCCGAGCTATTCAGGACATTTGGAGTTAACGTTCCATTCGGATTCGGATACGATATCGTTATCCAACAGCATTTACGTAGTTAGTCGGTGAAATAGATTGTAAGAAAAATGAATAGCCTTTTATATACATTTTTAAGACTAAAGGCCCACAATATAAGAACGCATTAGTCTTGCATTAAAATAAATTAATAAATTTAAACAAAATCCAGACTTTATTTAAAATAATAAGAGATTTCCATATTACATTCTTGCTTTGTAAACAATAGGACGTTCGGTAACTTTCATTCGATAACTGTGTTCTGAATAACATTTGTATATAGCCTTTGCCGGTCGAGAAGTTCGAGTAATTGTAAGGTTGTGACGTCATTTCGATTCGGTTTCGAATACGACAGTTTGACGTTCTGTTCGGGTTTTGTGAATAAAAATGAAAAGTAATCGGTCGACAACTGAGTTATCGTAAGGTTCTGAACCGACCTCCAGGCCCTGTACTCTCCTTCTCCGTCCGAAACAATTCCTGTCAAATAAGTAATACTCGACCAAATTAAAAGACAATGTCAAGCGTGAAGCTTCATTCGTATCATGCGTACTACTTATTTGACATTAATTGTTCCGGACGGATGTACCACTGAGAATGAGAGTAGACCCCCTGCAACAAATTTGGTGATGGGATAGCTACTTAAAACTAAATCGAAAACAGAATACTATTCCAATTAACTGAAATCGCATTTTTGCTAGAATAAAATAATAAACATGAACTGAAGAATAAGAACTTTCACAGGGTACTCACAGGTGGCGCTACGGAAAAAAGCTGTTTAAATACATATGAGATAATCGTAGTTCTGCCGATTTGTTCTATAGTTGGGAGAGTCGTAGTCCCGGTTTGGCAAAACAGGCGCTGGTTCGTGTTCAGCCCGATCGAAGGAATTTCTCTTTTTTGTTTGTTCGATCTTTTTTATGTAATCACAATATAGTGCAGTATTATCATGCAACATGAGTATTATGGTAGCAAAAATACCGTTATATTGAATAAAATAAATATTGAAAGCATGAATGCAAAATATTATTCTACTTCTATTCCAGGTTTAGCATAGAAGTTGAACTGGAATGTCTACTGAAATAATGCATATATAGAAAAATACATTGTACCCATTAAAAAGGTCAAGTATTTATACTGCAAAAGACGTGCAGTGCAATGTCGTGTGAAAGGGGGCTAAAGCATCGATACAATCGCGATGCAAACGCGATGCACCTTTTTAATGATTCAACATAAGCGTATGCATCGATGCAGCGGCGCGTCTAAATCACAAGCATCACGATGGAATCGCGCGTTTCAGAAACGCACATTTTCTATCGCTGCTAAAAGTAGCCATGTGTGGTCGTTCTTAAGTAGTTACATCCTAAGAACTTTCTTTGTGTACTGAACAGTATATAATATTATTATACGGTTCCATAGTGTTTATAATAATATACTTATAGACCAGCTCATTGCAATATAAAAAAACTATTTGCTTTATAGCTGCCGGAGGTAACAAATTCTATAAAATATGCACATTGGAAAAAATACCGACACTAAATGAGAAAGTCAATTTTCGGATGTTTTTTGAAAGTAAATTTGAACAGGCGATCTGTTCGTTTCATGAGGGTATTGGTTTGAACCGATAAGTAAGAATTATGTTTTCTCAACAAACCATGAAAGTATAGTTTATTTGGGTAATTTTAAGGTTAAATTTCTCTACCTAATATCAGTGGCCATTTTATTATTGAGGTATATTATCGTTGAATATTAAATAATATTTTAAGTTACTACTCGAAGATTAAATAATGCTTCATGATAATGTTCTAGACAATTTAAATAATAAAAATTGCCACCGAAACTAGGTAAAGAAAACTAACCCGAAAATTACCCATTTATCAGTTAATGTTTTATAAAACATATCATTAAAATAGCTTAATATATGATAACGATTAATGAGAAACTACGACTAAATTTCTACTATTGGTAAAGTGAGAAATATTAAATGGTAAAAAGTAGAATTCTGGTTTCTTACCTAATACTTTCTTTTCTTATCTAATGCTTTCTTAAAACTTTCTTATTGTCTATTTATGTACTCGTGGTTCAGTGGGTATAGTTGTACTATCTTCATAGTACAAATGTACTTAATTATAATTTAATATTAATTACACAAAATAATAAATTATATTGGAAAATTATTTTAACAATAAAGAATTGTAACTGTTCATTTGTATAAATGCATTAAGTACACAGGATTATCTTTCAGTTACTTAAAATTTCTTAACCTACAAACAAATTTTATACAGGGTTATTTTTAATTTACTTAAAACTTCTTAATCTATAAACCAATTTTATTCTATGACTTTTGAAACTACATAAATTAAAAACTACACAATTTATTTTCATTTCCCGTGCAGATCGAGGTAGGTTTGTATAATAAATTTTAAAAATGTTTCTTTTAAAATCGTAAAACAGTAGTCTCTCACTCACCTGTTCCTGAGAGAAGATGTCTTTGTAAAAATACAAATTTTCCTTACGTGGTCTTTGATCTCTTTCATTTTGCCATTCGTTTTAAAAATAACCCTGTATATGATAAATCAAACAATAACATTGAGATAACAATTACCTACCGTGAATAACATCATACGTGTTGCACACCAGACAACGTCATATTATTTCATACTGTCATCATAAGATATCAAATGACAAGCAAAAATAAATAAATAAAACGGATCAAAGAGTTTCCAACGGTGTGAGGTTCTTAAAGCAATTAACTCGATCTCATGCCATCTCCAGTCCTTGTCCAAGCTTTAATAATCACCCCCCGGACCCTCCATGTCGTCGCAACTCTTCAGCATTAAATAGTAGCTGTACACGGATAAAATGCAGTACGCCAGTACACCTGTAAATAAAGTAAGAAATGTTAGGAATTTAACAAGTAAAACAAAATCTTTGTGATAATTATTAATGTAAAGATCGAACACTCAGAAAAAACTTCTTCGATCCGGCCGGATTCGAGCCAACGTCTTCTGTGGAAGACGCCCAACTAAGCCACGGAACGAACCAGCGCACCTCACGAATTTTTCTATGTGCTTGTTGTCGTGTCTTTGTATTTGGTTTTTCAACGACTTTTTAGCCGTAGCGCCATCTATGAGAAATCTTAAGTATTTCATCACCCAGTTAGATACCTACCAATCCTGGCTAGAGATTTTTTTCTGAGTTCGATCTTTGTATTAATAAATATAATAAACTAGTCTAATTAAGAGTCGAGTAATTTCGCATAAAAACAATTGAATATCAATTCAATAGAAATTTTAAATCTTTGTTATTTAAAACTCTGAGGAACAGGCGTGTAGCTTACCACCAGGAGCACATAAAAAAAAACAAAAAAGTCTTTATTTAACCTCCAACACGAAAAGCGGGAAGTTCCTATAAGTTCGATGGCTTTGTCTGATTATCTGTCCTTGTAGATACTTTTTTTTGATGACTACAAAAAAGGAGTTGGTTTCCATTTCGACTGTATTTTTTTTATATGTATGTTATGCGATAACTGTCGGGCGCAGAGGCAGTGCCCCTCAGATAGTTGTGATTTAAAGCTCTGAGTTGTACTGCGACTGTTAAACAGAGGCGTGTCGCTGAGCATCAGGCGCACGACTTGTTCGTCCCGTCACTTTGATTGATTATTTAAAAAAAATTAGGGTTTCACACAGACAGGAACACTCACCGAAAAATATTACACCCTCGATGAAAGCGACGAAGATGTCTGATCCGGATCCGCTGACCCCGGTGAGCGCAATACTAACGACGATTACAGCCACAGCGATCACAAACACCAACACCATCGTGCCTACCCATAAAGCCACCGCCATTTTACTACGCTGCAAAACGCAACAAAATCTAAGTTATAAATAGTACTTATAGGGCCTTTCGCCGGTTTAGAGCCACAACGAGAAATGACCACAATTAAAAATGACCATTTCTCAAATTGACCATTTCTTGTATTGACCACTTCTTGAATTGACCACTTCTTGAAATGACCATTTCTTGAATGACCATTTTATTTTTAATTATAAATTGTTTTTTTTACTATATTTAGACCCTTTCGACAAATTAGGACCCTTCATGCCCAGACATTTATCTAACCTAAAAATGAAAATGAAATTAATGTTTGAAATGTTTTATTTGCCTGTTTTTGTCGAAAGGTTGCGAAATCCAGTTGCGATAGACGGAAGGACGTTAACCACCAGGGCGATAATAAACAATATCTAATGTATATACTTAAAGGTCCATCGTCAAACTTGTGGTAATGATCCTAATCCGAAGCCTGGTCAATGCAAGAAGTAGCCATTTCAAGAAGTGTTCTTTTGTAGAAGTGGCTATGTATTCTATTTTTATATTCATTGTGAAATTACTCCAGACCTTGTTGTTATTATTGACACAAACATCAAACAAACACAAACAAAAATTTATTCGATCCAGCTGCACAAGAACCATTGAGTTTCGCCAAACTGGGGCTATTGTTTTCTTTTTAAGCTTATGCTTTTTTGCTTATGCAAAGTGGGACTATCGTGTTCCTTTTATGGAATGCTGTTTGTTGTGTTAGTTCATATAACGCCATGTAAATAAATTAAAAACATAACATTTTTTTTTATGTTACCATTAACTTCTATCTACATACATTTTCATACCTTGTAAACCCCGTATAATAGCATGATAGCGATGAGTACATGTCCCGTACTAATGATGGCCGCGACCACGGCGATACGGTACCACTTGGTGTAGATCTCATCACCGACGTTGTCTACGGTGCCCACCATCTCGTTGAAGCTCTGTGCGTAAATCGAGCACACCACCACCAGGCATACGGAGATTAACTGGAATTAGAGTTTACCCAAGTTATTGCAGTGCTTTAGGCTGGGTGCGAACTGATACTTATTATGATAATTACCACGACAATTATCTTAATGCATATACCTTGATATTTCTAAAATTAATGTGTACAACAAAATACTACTGCTAGCAATGTCACGCCATGTGTTTGTATCAGAGATATTATTATACCAAAACGTATCAAATGTGAATCTCAAAACGTCTTAAACGATTTCGTTTGTAACTTCAGGAAATTTGATTTCCCTGATTGGTTCTACTGGGAATCGAACCTGGGACCAAGAGTTACGGAATTCATTCCGTGTCACTACCCAGAACAACTAGGCCGAAACCACTTTTAGTTCTATCGTTCTACACATAAAAGCTGTACTTTCTAAGACGCATAATTAATTAGTAAATATTGACGTTCGTTAAATGCATTTAAAATACTTACAGCTGATTAAAAAATGCGGGAAATAAAAAGTATAAATTTTAGGCTAAATTATTATTTAATCATGGGAACAATTTTAGGAATACAGAGCTGATTTTTTTTATATGATACATATAAAAAAAAATCACTACAAACAACACAATAACATTCCTGATAACTTTTATTCTTATGTAATTTCTTGAAAAGCTGATTAAGAAATAAACATTTTCTTTTCTGTCTCGAAATGTAGAAAATTGTAATGTGTGTATTTACAGTAAAATTAAGAAAAAAATAATCCATCTGCGGGTACTTGCGGCTTTAAGAGTAAAAAGGTGGCAAAATTTTTAGATTTGTTATTTATTTTTTAACACAATATACTAGTTTCTACTTAACTTTCGTGTTATTGTTATACCACTCTCTAAATTACACTAAAATTATTTTTTCTTTAGTCGAAGCTATTTCGTTAAAAAAGTACATAAAAAGTTGGCAATTTTACCGCACCTTTACACAAGTACATGAAGACGGATTATTTTTTTCTACATAGAAAATTATTGGAGCTATACTGTAAGTAACCACGCACATTACATTTTCGTATATTTTGAGATAAAAAATAATGTGTATATTTCTCCGTACAAAAAACACTTTTCAAGAAATTATACAAGAATAAAAGTTGTTAGGAATGTTATTACCTAACACATAAAAACATACAACATAAAAAAATCGGCTTGATACTCCACAAGTTCTTCCTATGTCCAAGAATTATCAATTTGGTCCCACTGTGCGGCGCCATAAATGGGCGTCATCTGCGCGTATACGCGCCGCAGATGACGCCCATAAAAACGCGACGATTCGCGTATAGTAAAAGTACGCGACGGGCCGAGGGTTAAAATATGGTTTGTAGCTATCTGTACTAGTAATAGACTGGTTAGTAGGCGGGTTCCGCGTTACCTAGCTTATCACCAGACGGGCATATGAGTGTCAACAGCGCGTCAGTCGTCGTTCAAAAGTGATACATGATTATTTTGTGGAAAAAATAGAAATATGCCATTATATTATGTCGCGTAAGAAGCCAAAGTTTAAAATTAATTTCGAAACAAAACTATTTTCTTACAATTCGGTAACAACAATATACATTGGTTGCTAGCCATCGCCGCCGTCAAAAGAACAATTCGAATGACGCTCAATGAATTGCTTGCACTAGTGTCGTATTACACTTGGTACTGCGTCCGCGTGTTGTAATCAAATTATCGATATGTAGAAACTCTGTATTTAGAACCTCGGTTTTGGTTTAGTTCAACATTTTTTTTATATTAGCGGTCCCAATGTGTAAACATAAATTGTCTACAGGTATTTAAAAGCTAACAATTTTGATTACTTATATGTATGTTTGGTCCCAACACTCGCAATAGCTTTTCTTCAAATTTTCAATTAAAGTAAAAACGATGTATTCACGGAAAAAAGGAAATATAGATAGAACTGTACCTCACAGTGTCGATAATTTCACAATCCACGTAATATCGTGGAGTATCAAATGAAGACTTTATGAGATTGGAGATTTTCTTTCCCTTATCTACATGATTTTTATCTCCCTACTTGCTAATTATACCTCACTTCATCCGCTTAAGTTCTTAGTTTTATCACAGGCATGATTTATTTGCAGATTTTGTATTGATTTTTTAGTTTCCCGCCGGATCCTTGTTAAAGGAGAAATGGGCTGAAGCAACAGGCAGTAAAAGATGGGTACCTACTAAATGTAGCACCATTTGCTATTGGCATTTCATGACATCACATTAAATTATGTACATATGAATAACAACCGAAAAATTCATCAAGAAATAAATAATTTGGTTAATCAGGTAATATATGACATGAAACTCAGAGTCGCATTCACAAATTATAGACCACATCTAAACGTGAAAACATTTCTGAAGCATTGTCAGTTATTTTTCGTCAAGTTTTCAGGAAACAAACTATTCGCTTCTTCGCCTTCGGAAATAAGTATCTTCATTTTTTTTACAAGTTCGTCGACGCTATAGGTATAGTCATGTTCAGTCAGTTCAGAAAGAGGTAATTGTTGACCAAATATATCATATTTCAGAGAGAATAAAGATTTTTATGATGACTGTGTTTTAATATTTCAACCCTTCTAGTGATCGGATTGACTTGAAATCTAGTAGGTTAATGAAAGTACGATGACAGTATAATAAATCATTAATACTGTGATTGTAGCATGTAGCTATGTATAGGCACGCACACGCCCGTGTAGGTTATATCAATTAATATTTGCGTGTTGTAAAACCTTATGCGTATTTGGTAACAAATGTGTGCGTGTAAAAGACAGCTACGCTAGTTCTCGAAGAAATTGCTTTAAACACCGTTTCCATATACTCCGTGGCTAACCCTAATCATCGAGTATATAACCAGAAATAGAGATGAAATAAGGGCCAAATATTCCTGGTAACACATTAGCGATACAGCTGTTATAAATATCAACTCTCGTTTGCACTGAAATATAGGCAGGCCAACTACTGACGTGTGTGTACGTCTCCGTATATTTCGTCTCTGTTTCTGGTTATATACTCGATGACCCTAATTATAGCAAGTGTAAAGCACTGCTTAGTTCAATATTCGCTAGTTATGAAACATAATGTCGATATCAATTAAATGTCACATCCCTATCTGTAGATTGTCAACTTTTTGCTTTTGTTCCAAGAAGTTTGTGTTCATATGATTCTTAGCTTTTATGTGACTAGTAGTAATAAAACCTTATTAAATCCAAATAAGTTTCAGTTTTTTTTACTAAAAGTTTTTTATTATTATCTATTTTCGTTTGATAATTTATAATTAATCAAAATTACGTTATTTTAGTACTAATGTAGGATACGTTTTCAAATGTGTGCGTGTGGCGACCCTAGTGTCGCCGTGTTTTGATACAAATGTTGCTTGATGCCATTTTCATTCTTTTTTTTCTTCCGTGACTACACCTTTCTGTTACACCGTGTATATTTTTCGTTCTAGTGTACAGGAAAGAGTATTTACATTGTGTATTGATTTAGATAAGTATCTCCTAAAACAAAAAATACAGCATCAACTCCAACTAATGGATTTTTTCATTAGTTGGAAGTCGGTACTGTATTTGCTGCATCGTCGGAGCAGGAGAATAACAGATAAACGACCTTACCGTGTGCAAATATGCGACGATTTTGGCGCCCACTTCGAGACCCAGGCAGCAGCAGAAAGACGTCACGTGCGGCAGACCCATCTTCGCCTTGTCTTCACCTTGTCTGTACCATACAAAAATATATAGGTTAAGCCAAGACGATATTCCATTAGTATTTGATGATATTGTTGCTGTATTTATCGGCTGTGTTGCGAAGACAGGTGCGTGGACGAGACAGCATTCGTCTGGAAACATTTCCTGACACCTTCGATCAAATCGAAGCTTAAACAACGATATTTAAGAGATTGAATAATTATAATAAGATTGTCTTTGAGATTAACGCAATTTTTGTGTTTCGTAGTTTTATGTAGTATGACAGAGTTGTAAAAGGAATTTGTAATGCTTATTGTAACAATAATAATAAACCATTTATTTCAGATATACATTTACCCATAGTATTTGTTAATACAAAAAGTAGTTAAGCTAATATTAGGTTTCAAATAATAATAAAACAAAATTATTTATAGATTAGGAAGGGAATACAGGCACAACGTACCCAGCCAATGTCAGAACAACTGGTTACGCATTTGCAGCAGTGTGTAAGCGGATCCACCGCCGCAGCATTGGGGACTCCCATCTTTCCGCCAATGTACTCAGGACGCCGTTCGTACTGACACGCATGCGAAGGAGTTGCGATGCGCTACGCTTTCTCATGATTAGCGTAGAAATCGACTACATGTTTCTCAGCAAACATGTCTGACGCGCTACAGAAAGGTGGAAGTAGGAACAGCATCCTGAACGCATTTTTATACTGGATGCGCAGTGCACCGTATGTACGCCGCGTGTAACTGACCCACAAGCTGCACGTATAAAAGAACTGGCAATATGCTTTAAAAAGCGTTACCTTCATTTCATTTGTACATCGTGCAAACTAGCGAGTCAGCATATTGCAACGGACAGCCAACACCCTGCGCTACTTTTCCACGTCGGCATTATCACATAGGTCCTCGGTGACTCAGATAAACTGTGTTGTCTGCTTTAGAGGAGTACCACATAGATCAACGGAAGGCACTGTTGTTGTACGCCTTAGCACCTTCTTTAAATACCATGCACTCACTCTTCAGCGCATTGTATCTGAGCCCATGAGCCACCGCATGTAGGTATATTAAGCCAAACAATGAACTGTTAGGCTTTGAAGTCTCGTTACTCGATATGATGGCAATATTTATTCAATAGTTCCTATGGACTCTAAAACTGAACTTCGACATCGACATATACTGCTCCGACAACATGATAGACCGGTATTACTTTACTCAGACACTATGCTGCTTCAACAACACAGACGAGATGCTTCTTAAAAATCTTTGTACTCCGATAAGAATGATCATCATTACAAAATGTTACAAACCCATGTAGGAAATGGTTTCTTATATCGATCAATATAATAAAATCGAAAAATTCTTTTATTATTAATTTATGAAATTATAACAAAAAAAAACTATTAAATTGCATATATGAAAAGAATATTTTTTGTCGAGGGACTAAAACAAGACGATATATACCCGAGGTGGTCAGCTATTAGGTCAACTATTATTTCGAGGATCTTGTTTGCAGCACAAATAGAAAAATCAAATTATAGTAAACATTCGGGCTACTTCGTTCTCCGTGTTTCTCTGCTCTTTCATCAATTTTTTATTGTATTGAAAACATCAATTTTCTTTTTATTCACAAGCGGTCCGATTGCCGGCAGGTTGAAGCTATGGAGTCGAAAACTGTCCATTTTTTGGGTGGGGATTTGGGTTGCAAGTTTTTAATAAACACTTTAGTAGGGTTGCTCGCTTTTGAAACGCATTTACGTGATCCGGTCACATACAATTTAGCAAATTTTTCACAGAGAACACCAGCAACTTTTGAGAGTACATGTTCTTTAAGGGGCTCAAAAGTTTGTGGCATCTCTTCGTGTGACAAAAATGTTAACGCTGTAATATGTCGCAATTTATATCGCTGCTGAACGACGTATCGACAGGAAGCAATGGCTCCTTGTTCGAAACCCGTTATTATTATTATTATTTTAGGTTCCAATGTTAAGTGAAATTTATTAAAAACATGACGTTTCAATATTTCCAAAAAAATATAGTAATCATGCTCACTTTTACTTGACAGGAATCGAATACGATAGCTTTTTTAAAGCTGATACACAAGTTTGGGACTGCATTTGAAAGAGCCATCCAGCATCGACGTCAGTAATAGTAAACCTTCCTGGATTAAATAAGTTTCATATTTTCTCACAGCGTATACATTGCAGGCACACTTTCTTTTGCTAATTATACCCAATCAAGATTATATTATCTTATCTTAGTAATGTAATGTAAGATTACAAGTGTGTGCGTATGGCAACACCGGTTTTGATGCTAATGCCACTTGATAGAAAATGTAATGTGTAAAAAAAATTGTCTCATTTCCTATGTCCAAAGCAATCAATAAATAACATTCGAGATAAGATACAAAACTATTAGGCTCAACTCACACTGGCGCAGAGTCGAAGTGTCGCGACGCGCCATGTTTTTCGCCTATAGCATATTCGTCTCTATTTTCCCATTATTAAGGTACAAATTTGTATTATGCAAATATGGAGTCGCGTGTCGAGCTTGGTTGCAGTCGAGCAGTTTCGTCAGACGCCGACCACACTGTGATCCGGGTGCACTAATGCGAGCATCGTCGCGCGTCGCCAGGCGTTATAGTTGAAAAACAGGACGCGACGCGACGCTTTGACTCTGCGCCAGTGTGAGTTGAGCTTTAATGTTTTAAGCTACCATGGCATTGCGTGACCTGAATATGGAATAAAAGCGCCGGTGCCAGTCACAACACAATGAGGTATTTCAACGCGAGCCTAGATTTTGAGAGATGAAGTATGGATGGATTGTACCTCGCGTCCTGCAATCCGCGCGCTCGAAATGAATATGAATAAAATAAGGACAGGTGGGGAAAATTTTACACAGATCCGACATTGACAAGCACCAGATGGCGACTGACGGGACAGCCGGCAGCATGTCTTTAAACCGCTGGGCAATTTGCAAATTTTGGGATAAATATGAATTTAATAAAATTATGTACAAAGTTAGGTATTTTATTTTTAAATAATTCGTTATAGACTTTAATTTTAGGCTGTTTTCAGGATTTTATGATCGGATAAAGTACATCCTATCGTGTAACATATTAGCACAATGTTCGAACAATAATCCTTGGGTGTATCGAATATTTTTTGTAAAACCACTGTTATTAAATAGTAACCTCACCTAAACCATTTGATTTAGCAAAACAGTTTAGCCCGTTTCTCTTCCGGTGACTCAGCCCTAAGTTTGAACAATATTTGAATCAAGAATGAAGTTTTCAACTAATTACGCCGAAACGCACATACTATATGTTTTAATAAGTATCAAATATGAATGACTATTACTGGAAAAGACCAAAAAAATGGATAGGTATAAATTCGGTGAAAGATGTTAAAATATAGTAGATGACGTAAGGCTATAAGTAACGTCGGTAGAATAATAGTGAATCGAATGTAGCACCTTTAGCTTAAAAGTAAAAGATCTGTAGGGTATTGCTACTGCGCCCGTCACCCTGAGGCATAAGTTGACAGGTCCCATGTGCCTGTAATTTCGACAGCACCCTTACCCTTCAAAACGGGAACGCAGTAATGCCTCACATTACCGATTCGTGGATTCGCGGTAGAAATAGATAAGGTACCAGTACTTCTTGGACGAACTCTTTCACAAGGAGCTCTACTACTTCTTAAAATAATATCATAAACAACGACTTTTGTTCCTTGATCCCTTTGTTTGACTTTTAACAATTCAACAAACTTTACTTCCGTACAAAAATAAAAGCTAACTAGTAATAAACTACTAAGATAACTCTGTGCGGTAACAAAAGAAAGAACTGACATATTTACGCTACTGGTATTTACCAGGCCGATACAGAACACTGGTGCGAGGGATAGGAGTCGTGGAGGAGGACGCAAGCATTTCTGAACTACTACAAAATAAAGATCTAAAGTGTTCGATAGTACAGTAAAAACTTAAAAGTTTATTTTTGACAAATTTATTATGTTTCGTAAAAATCATAGAACAAAAGTGTTTGTATGATGTAATATAGTCCTGTGAGGTTGTTAGTACCTTCTTTACAAATAACCCTGTGTCCGGCTAATGCAGTATACTACAAATCTGTGGCTCTATTGAAAATGGGTACAACTGTACAAGGAAACGCGAAAAACACTTAACGCTTAATATCATATTAAGCTTTAACTGTTTTTCGCGTCTCCTTGTAAAGTTGGGTTTTTTTACTTGTACCCCTTTTCACTAGAGCCACAGAAATATAATATTACATAACTAAGTTTAAATTAACCTATATCATCAACCAGTTCATTAAACAACCTTACCAATTCCAAAGCAATTAGTTATAAATTAATTAATTGGAACAACTCACGGCCTATCGTCGACTTCCATTGCCAATACCGCCATCACAATTTACAACACTTCGCTAAATTTCCTTCCAGAAATCAACAACGGAATATTGTGATTGAAAGAATAATAATAATGCCCAAAATAGGTCCACCTTCAACGCAGTAATGTAGCGAAATAGGGTAAAGAGGGCTTTGCGTCGGACAGAGCAAACAAAAACAAGAACTCGTCAACTTTACGCGCAACACGTTTCGGACGGTTGTTTGCGGCGAGCAATTAATTGATGGCACCGAAAAAGGCATAAGACAAGGCGATTGTTTGTTAAACGTGTAATTCTGTCATAAGTAACACAGTAGTGGTAGCATATCGCTTATTTGGTGCTACATTGATGTAATTGTAATTTTGGCAAATTTGGATAAAGGATGTTAATATGTAATTAATTAAGTCTTAATTCAATTATGCCAAAATTGCAATTAAGTCAATGTTGCACTAAATGAGCGATATGTAAGATGCGGGTTTTAAAAAGAAAGAAAGAAATATTTATTCGGCTATTAGAAATAAAATATATGTATAAAGAATCTAAATTAAAATTAAAAAATAAAATCAAATAAAACAAAATACAAAATACCGAAAAGGCTACACAGCTCAGCTAAATGCTGGGCAGAGCCACAGCGCTGATTTTCAGCTGGAGCCTGAAAGGAGGTAGATGGCTACGCCTATTTGACGACACAGAATAGATTATAACAAAAATATGTATTAATTTTAAAACAACAAAATCTAATTGAAAATAATGTGCTTTTCATACAATGTAAAATGACAAAATTAATAACAGGACTTCTCCTTTTCAAATTTTGTGGAATATTTATTTAACTATGTATAATTTTTTTATCTATAAATCGATGTATCCTGATACATTATCTTGAAATACCAAAGGTTCTTGAAGAAGCTAAACGCCATTTAGTTCATTGCAGACATCGGCTAGCTCATCCTAACCTATTTCCCCATATACTGTTACTACAAAACCTAACAAGGTTAGGCTCCTAATTAGGAGGGAGATCCAAAAAAGCCGATATGCTTAGTGATTAAAGGGAGAATGGCCGTATTCTTCTATCTTCCAACTCATCTGATCAAAATCTGCTTGACTGATTGCAGATATTCAAGAAAACAAAATTGGATGTGATTAGAATACTTGCCCTCCATAAAGATTAAAAAAGCTATTTGAACATATTATGCAAAGTATCGAGCTAGCAACTGAGTGACGACACAACTAGTAAATTAAAAAGCTACTAAAGTACTAATATATGCCATATAGTTGACTATTTCGAAATAATAAGAAAATTAAAGGATTTTTGGAAATGTAGAGTATCCGAGCTACATTTGAAAGTAAACTCAAAAATATGTTTAAATAACAAAACATATTTTAAATAAGCATTTAGAACCATAGCTCATGACTCGGACTGAACGCGACCTGCAACGCTCCTACATCAAGATCCCGTTACAACAGCAGTCAAGGCCTCCAAGGCCGCCTCGCGAAGTCTAGACAAGACTCACTATTATTGACTACTGTACTTGTAGTTAGCATCTAGTTGCTCCAGGACGCTTTTAAAGAGAAGCTATGCAAGGGGTCTCACGGCTAAAAAGAAAGTATTTTAATAATAGATTACAACAAGTGCATAAAACTCATTGTACCCGAGACGAGTATATCCTATATATGGATACTTAAGTCGAGGGTAAAATGGGTGTTATGAACGAGTTATACACTGCTTTTCACTTCGATTGCGAGGAAATTAAACATCAATATTACAAATAAACGATTATTTAATTAAAATTGAATGTAAATTTACAACAATTAGACATATTTAACGTGATGGTTTTTTTATTTTATGCACTAGAGCATAAAATCCTATTTTAGGTCAGCATGAGAAGTGAAAATATATTTATATGTTGTTAGTAGCAGTAGAGCTCCTTGTGAAAGAGTTCGTCCAGGGAAGTACGACACTACACCTATTTCTGACGCCAAGCAGTAAGGGCACGGCAAACCGCAGGGCACACTGCGCATCGCACTACCGCGCAGATTTTTAAGTTTAACGAACTGAACATGTATTCAGTTTTCTACAATAAATCTCGACGTCGGTAAATTTATATTTGCTATTGAAAATCAACGAAATTTATCTTCATATTTTCTTAAATCTTTGTAATGAAGTTGAAATTATCCATTTATCGATCTGGTTCGTAAAAAGGAACGTATCCAATATTTTCGATATCTTTTTATTTGAGGAAACGAAAACCAAATAGACAGTATAACTGCAGCGTCCTGAATGAGTTCTGTATTATTAACCATTCTTGTCAAAGAAGGATCTCGGCTACATATACAATCACTACGATGATCAACTGCGAAACGAGTACTTTAAGTGACGCGGGGCCGCTAGGCCGCTACCCCCGCGCAGATTAAACCGCACGTTGATGCAGATCTGCGTCTCCGCCTCCGTGCGCGTGATTCCGCGTCCAGCGCTCCGTCTCAGGGCGCGGTGCTGTGTGTTAATAGCCTAAATATATAGATTAACAAATAATATCCCCACGAAGTAAAATATCCTACCTAGTGCCTATCTACAGTATTTAAAAAATAAACAGAAACATAATGTAAAAAAAAATCTCTATTAAATAACAAATATAGGTTGCCTCATGTTGACGCCAATACTGAAATGGCTTATTGTGGATATAAAAATTCATTTTTTTGCAATGATTTTAGAAAATTCGTAAAAAAATATACATGTCAGAAATGTTTTAATTAATTTACAAAACTAAGAAATTTCTTAAAAACAGCCTGTAGATAACACCAACACTGTTTTAAGCCTTGGTGATGTAGAGAAACAAGACAAGTATATGTATAATTGATCTAGATTTTTTTTCAATCTACCATTAAAAATGGCCGACCCACAATTACTGTGGTCTCTTCAGGTTCAGGGCTAATTTGATGAATTCAAGGCCTTGCAATTTCTTTTTTATATTGCAATTGTTGTTGTTTTAAATAAGTGGAGTAAGGTTGCCTCAATGCATTTGGTGAATTTATCTGTAGATGTAATATTGTGAATATTGTGATCTTATTTCATAGAGGATGGAAAAAAAATGAAAGGAATAATTTAACAATTTCTTTTAATACTATTCTGACCCTAGCACATGGCCATACATGTATTGGTCAGTTAGAGGACTGTTCATTTATTGTTAAACGCATGTCCTATCCTTTGGTTTCCATAGTCTGTCTTATTTAATATTTTTTTAATACTGTTCTGTCCCTAGCAGAAGACCAGACATGTATCCGTCAGTTAGTGGACCGTTAATTTATTTTTTTATCTCATAGCTCCGCACTAGAAAAACTCTGTGTTTAAACCATAGATATAGAAAAAAAGGGGAGATTTGGTATAGGGGCGTGGTTCGTGTCTCGTGGTTCGTGGTTCGCGTCGATATGATCAAAATGATCAAAGCGCGGTGACACGCTTACAAATATCGCCACAGTGACATGGCGATCGTTGTACATACTATAAGATCTCTCGCAAAACGTGAAAATGCCAAGTTGCAGCGATAAGCCTTGTCAAAATTTGAGTGAAAACGAAAATTTTAAAACCAGTGAGATAACATTCCACCGGCTATTTGCATTTTTAGTTACTATTTCCATTATTATTCAATGTTTTCTTTTTGTCCCCATAGAAATTTCTAGACTCAAATATAGTGATGTTCATTTACGATGACTGATGTTTATCAACTATAAATCTTTACTGAAATGTTTGAATTTCTTACTATGATTTTTGTAATTAAAATCCCTAAAATATCGAAGCGAAAAGCATTCACGTTAAATTGATTTCCTTTATTTCATTATTATTATTATTATTATTACTTAACATTTTATTTCGAGTAACTTTAACAGAACACATATTTCGGACAACCGTTTCAATTTCATGTCAATTTGTATGTTGCTGTTGCTTGAAGAAAAATGTATGTGTATTATTGTTTTAGATAATTTAGATATGTAAATTACATTATACTCGTAGATTAAACGTAGAGTATTTTTAATTTTTAAGTTTTTCCAATGAGTTCAAAATAAGAGAAGGTTGGATTGAAGCTGCAGGAAAATCGAAAGATTTATTTTTCTTATTACTATTTCTGACTTTGTTTCAATTTTCATAGCAAATGCATTTAAAAAATAAATAAAATCAGCATTACTTTACATATGCATGCAAAATAAATTAGAAACAATTATAGAAAATTACATAAATCCTTCATAAAAGACAACATAATTTCATTTATCAAATTCGTTGATGGTCCGAGTTTACGCTTGACAATGACAGCTTCACCAACCCGTAGTAACGTATAATGGAAAACTGACACTGGCGACGATCGCCATATTTTTTATATTATTCTTCTAAAACTGACACTGGCCCAAGCCTAGCGACCGCCATTAGAAAAAGATAATAATTTATATTAATATATTAATTTAATAATACACCAGTACCAGTGTAGGTATAGTATGAGAAACGAAATATTTATTTAATATTAAAAACAGCCACAGGTTTCTAACTATCGATTAAGTAGGACCACATCCCTCGTTGAGTAGCGTCAGTTTCTATATCTATGGTTTAAACTATGTCAGTCATACATACATATTCCAACTTTCAAAAATTGCGCCTGTTTTTAATTGGCGTGCAATAGTGTTCCCGTGGACTTCCAACTCTCTCTATTCACAGTAATTTGCGACTTCAATCTATAGACAAGAACATTCACAGCAACTAGAAGTTCCAAACAAAACACTATCAATAGTGATAGTGTTTTGTTTTAGTGTTGAATTTTGTCAAAGAGTATCAGTACCCCAGTACCGTGAACAGATGTGACAGTCGAAACCTATTGGAAATGAGCTAGGCAGGCAGACAATATTGAGTGTTTAGCATTGACTTACAAATAAATGGACGACGGGTCTAATACAAAAACCACGAAAAAAATGTCCCAAGTCAACCCATTCGAAATTTAAATTGTAATGTCATCGCAGTATCGCGC